TTTTTTTTTTTTTCTTCTTTTTGTCAGGACGATGGTGATGATATCAAGGAGACCACCAAACGTGATTCTGGCGAGGGACAACAGTGATGAACTTAAAATGTAGCAGTGTGCTCCTTATATTGTTGAATTTTTACGATATTATTAGTTTGGATCTGTTGTAGTAAGATTTTAAGTTGTGTTCTGCCTTTATTGGTGTTTCTTTTCATGGTTTGGAAGCTTCTCTGAGTGCATGTGTTGTTAAGACTAAGGGAAGGAGGATGGTGACAAGTGGTTCTTGTTCGGGTCAGGGGGATGCATGAAAATTTATTATTGTTATGTTTGGTTTTGCTCGTCTGATTTAGTTTCATCACGAGTTATACATGTTCACCTCTATTTTGCAATATGTGCACTTGTGTGCTGCCTCCATGTGCCCTTGTGGATATTTATGTAGATCCAGGTAAAAACCCCCTCACCCGTCAATTTTTTATCTGTAAGACCTACCTACAATGCTGCAAATTGGCACTTGCAAGAGTTCATACAAAGTACATCTTTATAGAGCGTGCATTCGTTAAAAGTGGCGTGAATAACTGATAAAAAATGGTTAACTCGTATTCTTAAAAATGAGGGTATGGAAAAAGAGCTACACGGCTACTTAGAGTTGAAATAGAAGGTGATGGAAATCATACTCCCTCGCAAACTCTTCTAAACAAACCTACTGTTTCCTATTTTTGGAATTCAAAGAACATAAATCTGCGAAAGAAAATTCGGCAATGTATTTGTCGCAAATCAATATAACCGCCAAATGTTGTAAACAAGGTCATTTCCTCAATTACATGTGCTATATCTTTGCTTTTGTTATGTTCTTACTCTGAGCTTCCGTTGTTTTTCAGGGGTTTCTGGTGAAGACAACCACTTAAGGATATGTGATCATGACGAAACTGAATGGGTTTGCACCATCACTACCCTCCGCTCTCAAAACGTCTGCTCTATCATCGCGCATTTGTGACGATGGTAAGGTTCTTTAGTCACAGCCTTTTTACTGTTTATGTTATTCTAAATTTTGTTTTATAGTTTCCCTTTTTTATTCTTTCTTTTTATCGGAGTCAATCCATCAATGTTATTGCAAAACAGTAACATATAAATCTTCCTCATATCTATACTATTTTATAAATACCTCAGATTCCTTCAAGGACCAAGATGGATCAGAGACAAGGAAATTAATCCTTGCTCTGATACCATGATGGACGACTCATCAAGAACATAAAGACTGAGTGCTCAGCTATGGTGTTCATTGACAGATCTGGGGGGAAATGTTCATTCAATGTGTGGCTGAAAATAATGGCAGGAGATGTCTTATCCATACTAGGATTTAAACTATATATATGCTTGTACATGACTTGACCTAACAATAGGGAAAATACTAAAATACCCTACATAGCCACATGGCATAGACAGGGCCACGGGTTGGCCCGACCCATGGACCGGCCCGCCCTAGCCGATTTTTAAACCGGCCCATAACCCCTTAAGGGCCTGTTACGGGTCATGTTGTAGGCCCGGGCTGGGCCAGTTATGGGCCCGGGTTTTCCGACGGATCACGGTTATATATATATATATATATTTGTAGAACCAGCGGCTCCAGGCCGGTTCATTGGGCGGACCTGTTATGGGCCTAGGATTTGAGACATGCCGACCCAGCCCAGTTTGTTTTCATGTGTAATACAATTGTAACGCTCCGACCGGTTTAAGATCACTTTAAGCTCGCCTTCCTCGCTGGTGGAACAACGAACCTGTACAAAACTCTCACACCGGAGGAATTTTTTGGTGAAGAGCCTCCAACGCTCAAGTCAGTCTTGAGAAGATGAAACGTATATGGTAAAGTGCATAGTGTATATGAGAGATTATAGCTGAAAATGAGAGATTTTACCCCTATATATAAGGGTGAATTACCTGCCCTAGGCGCTGCCCGGATCAGCTGAGTTGGCTGTCCCAACTGCCCGATCGTACGATCCACTCTCCAGTATCTATGCTTCATGAATGTGTCAAAAACCGTTACTAGCATAGACCACATAGCGTTCGCCACGTGTCCTTTGCGCACGTGCTGGAGATTCCCTTTAAGGCTATGATGTTCGACCAGATCTGGGCAGGCCGTTGGACTGCCCTTGGAGTAAAGGATGGTCGATCTCACGATCATTTGTATTCGACCGTCTGGAGCTTCGACCGGCACTATGTAATGTGGGTACTTACCAGGTGCCCCTCCTTCCGCGTAGCTTTGACTTATGACCTTTATCATTCAACGAGTATTCTGCTCGACCAACCCAATTAACCCGATTCATTCTATTGATCTGACAGACCGGTCTAATATATATAATATCCCATGTAATCTAGTCCCCCCACTCTCGTCGAGTCTAAATGACTCTATCTAAGAGTAGGTCTTTGTCTGTGTTCTTGAGCATCTTTCTGTCCATTTCGACCAACTGATATATTTTTGACTTCTTCTCGACCATCTTCTGCTGCAACCGCCATTTTGCATTTTGGAATTCAAATCTCGCCATTTGTCCGTTTTGTCAGATGCGTCTCTTCGTATGTTAGTTTTCATCGTTGCTCTGTGATTCGTGTTACCTCGAATCTCGCACCCGCATTAATACTGTTGTAGCACAAATTATTATTTTTTACCGAGAAACGAATTGAAAGATTCGTTCCTCGGGTCGATCTCACGAGGAAGTGTGATATCCCGAGATATTATCAGTATAAATTACGTTTAATTCCGATATAGTAACGTTAGTGTTTATTATTTTCGGAATTGATTATTTTCAGTCGAGATTACCGAAATATATTTTCGAAGTACCGTTTACGTTCGAAATAATTTTGGTAATTAAGTAATATGTTTAATTGAATAATTAAACATGTTTAATGATTAATTAAGTAATTAATCATGCTATCATGTCTTAAGCCGTGACATTAGTAAAATAAAGGCCGTAAGTTCCTTGAGCAATTTTCATGAGTTTCTCCTCCTTTCAAGCTATGCCACATGTTCCATTAAGAAGGTGATTAGTCACCTTATAGACTCTTGAAATTAATACAAGTGTCAAACTCTCAATAATCCACATTTCAATCATGTTATTCTCGGTTTTTAATGTGTAGAGACCGAACAAATCTTTCTTTCTTTTCTCCCATCTTTTTCTTAGAGTTCAGCATAGAGAGAGAGGGTAGAGACCGAAATATTTTCTTGAAGATCTCATTAGACTATCAGCAAAGATAAAATTCAGAGTAGAGGGAGTGGAAGAGATCGATTTTGTGCACCATTCAAAAAGAAGAGTTCACCGCAGCAACACCCCGCCATATCATCTCAATTTCACGCGAAGCCCAGGTCAGCAGATCCATCACCTCAGAACGTTCCTTTGCCGGAGTTGCATCTGATCGGAGTTGCAGAGGTATCATCAGGCTCCTTTCGAGCTGATTGTGTTAGTAATTAGGGAGATTAATCAGAATTTAGTCGGATCATGTTGGGATTTTGAGCTGTGCGGTGATTGTGAACGAAGCCGTGTGGCTGTGTGTATGCGTCCAAGAGAGTTATGTGAAATTTTTCATGTTATTCCAATAATTCATTGATAGTCAGACCCTATTTAGCTGAAATATGTAATTAAGTGTTCAGTTTTTGAAGTGTTGAATGGTTGTTGTATGGTCGGTTATCGGCCGAGACGGTGGCAGCGCACATCGCGCGTGTCCACGGGCCATATTAGTTAAAGGATAATTTCAGATTATAGTCAAGTTGTTATGTGTATTGTCTTGCAGCAGCTTTTAAATGATGGAGCAGGTATAGGTGATTTTGGGTTGCTGAGTGAAGAATGGAAAAGGTCGGGTGATGGCCATTGCCGTCGGCTGCGCTTGGGGCGCTCGCCACGGCCTCGTTCGATTGATTGAGCAATAGCTAATATTTTTTTTTAAGTAATTTCAGTAATTATAATTTAGTTAAGTCAGAAGATGTTAATTAAAGTCAGTTCGGTCGGAGGTTAATGCCGGAAGGCCGGTGAGTGTCGGCCGAGGTCGCGCTGCCGCACATAGCGGCAGCAGCGCATCGGCCAGCAGCCCTTGTGCCAGGCAGCGTGCGCAAGCGAGGTTATGTGTGCGTTGCCTGTGCGCGGTAGCATTGCGGGCATTGTCCAGTGCGCGTCCGCAGCCCAGTCATGCCCAGTGGACACCTCAATGCCGCTGGCAGTCAGCCCGTCAATCCTAGCGCCCGCGGTCAATCCGGACAGCGCCCGTGTGCGCAGCTTCGGCAGGCCGTTGGCCAAGCCAACAACCGTTAGTCCGGTTTAGCGGATCGATTGTCCGGTCCAGACCGGTTCAGACCGGCTGGCCGGTTCAGCAGCATTTTGAGCCGGTTTAGCCATTTTGAGCCGGTTTAGCATCTTGA